AAAATAAGAAACACAGGAATTTTGGAATGGGATTGAGCCATTTTCAGTGGGATTGAGCCATTTTCAGTGGGATTGATCCACTTTGAGGTGACAGATTGATCCCTCTCGACTTTTGGGTTGCAGAGCTGGGAGACACTGGAATGTTAATGGTCCATGGCTCCAACACTCTCCAGCTGCAGAAGCAGTGGGGGTTTTGCTGCCCATGGGCAATAGAACCACCCAGGGCAGAGGGGGGAACACCCACCCCTGGAGGGGACAGGCTGGGTTTGGAGCCAGAGAGAGGAAGTGTTATTTTTATGGTTTTATATCACTATAGACAGGAGTCAAAACTGCCTCAAACCTACATTACATGGAAACAAAATTGCTCTGGACTAAACCCAACATATACATATATATATATAATTATCTATATACATATATATAGATATATATATATATATAGATAGATATATATATATATACATATAAATATGTGTATATATATATATATATATATATATATATATGTATATAGATAATTATCCTCAGGGGGGGAGAGGGGACTCTGCATTTTTCTGCTCTGATATTTTCTTTCTTTCCCCTTCTACATTTTCTTAAATGCTATTTTTATGCTTTCATATCACTACAGACAGGAACCAAAATGGCTCCAAACCTGCTTTACATGGCAACCAAACTGTTCTAAACTAAACACTACATATATATATATCTCTCTATAAACACTGATTATTCACCATCTTTTCATTCTAATCTGCCCAAGGGCTGGATTAACAAGACCCTGGGTCACCCTCACTATCAGGGGGGTCGGACAGGGGCTGGTCACGGGGGAAGCTTCCGGTAGCTGCTCACAGAGCCCACCCCTGGAGCCGCCCTGCTACCAAAACATGGCCATCCAGACCCAATACATGGCCCAGCATGGATCACCTGGAACATGGGTCACCAGGTCTGTGCCCAACGTGGGTCCCTGTGGATCATCCAATGGGGGTCCTCTGATGGCTGATGGAGTTGGAGCAGCGGCCAAAGCTCTTCCCCCAGTTGGGACAATCGTAGGGTTACCCTTACTGGTGGGTCCCTTGGTGTCTGGTCAAGGCAGAGCTGTCGGTGAAGCTCTTCCCACACTCCCCACACTTGTAGGGCCTCTCCCCGCTGTGGATGCGCCGGTGGGTGATGAGATGGGAGTTCCGGTTGAAGCCCTTCCCGCAGTCAGTGCAGCGGAAGGGCCTCTCATCCGTGTGTGTCTGCTCATGCCTGAGGAGATCTGAGCTGGTCGAAAACCTCTTCCCACATTCCAAGCACTTGTAGGGCCGTTCCCCAGTGTGGATGCGTCGGTGGATGTGGAGGGTGGAGCTCTGCCTGAAGCTCTTCCCACATTGCCCACACATGTAGGGCCGTTCCCCAGTGTGCATACCATGGTGTTGGAGGAGGGTGGATCTCTGGCTGAAGCTCTTCCCACATTCCCTACAGGTGTAGGGCCGTTCCCCGGTGTGGATGTGCTGGTGTTGGATAAGGTGGGAGCTGTCCCTGAAGCTCTTCCCACATTCCATACACGGGTAGGGCCGTTCCCCAGTGTGGATGAGCTGGTGGGTGCGGAGGTTGGAGTTCTGGTTGAAGCTCTTCCCACATTCCCTACATGTGTAGGGCAATTCCCCTGTGTGGATTCGCTGGTGGGTGCGGAGGTTGGATCTCTGCCTGAAGCTCTTCCCACATTCCCCACATGTGTAGGGTCGTTCCCCAGTGTGGATGTGCTGGTGGGTGAGGAGGTTGAAGCTCTTCTTGAAGCTCTTCCCACATTCCAAGCACCTGAAGGGCTTCTCCCTGCTGGGAGGCTGGTCAGGGACCACCAGGTTGGAGCTCTGGCCCAAGCTCCAGCCGCCTTCCCGGCACAGGCTGGCTCTTTCCTCCTCAGAGCACCCTGGGATGGCTTTGGAGCCCCTCCTGCGGGGGGATCGCAGGCCCTTTTCCTCCCCG